CCTTGTAAATCACTGATTTGCATAACTGTGGATGTGAGTATCTGTATCCTTGAGCAGTTTTTATTACCACTCCACTCTGGCTATGAAAATAATTTGGTAATTCTTCGGTACAGAACAGCACACATATGGTGCACAAACCACAAAGGCAGCGTGGACCTGTCTCTCTCTAAATCACATATATATATAACAAGGCCAACTTTTACTTCCTTTGCTTGCTCACACAAATAAATAAGCAGTGCAAATTCATATAGGTAATTATTTATGGACAAGGTTAAGTTCATTTGCATTTCTGACTATCTGATAGAAGTGAAGTCAAGTCCACACTACCTAAATTGCATGAAAAATAACACTGTAATACTTACTTATGTAGTGTATCTATGAAAGCCAGATGCAAAAGATGCGTGCTCCATCTCTCAAACATAGTTCTAATGAAAAGAAAAAAAAAGCCTTAAAAAGTGTTTAGAAGCCTGGGAATATAGATAAATATCTAATGGGATTTTCAGAAGCATACTGGTTTCTTTCCATTACAGTCACAGAAAGAAGATATTTCCTTCTAAAGACTGTATTTTCAGAAGATAACCTTTTGTATATTTGCCCTTAAATCTTTATTTATTCCTATGTAAATATACAATACAGATCAATGTTCAAGAACAAAAATTAAGTTTCAGAGGGCACTTTTGAAACAGTTTTAAAATATGTCATTCAACACCTCTGAGAAATATTTAAAAAACAACTGGATCTGGCTAAAAATTAATAAAAAGAAATTGCAATAATTATCCATAGGAATTGTTCTTGATAGTCATATGAATGAAGTTTTGCTATAGGAGAAAATAGGCATCATTGAGAGGGAGACCACTTCAGACATCTTCAGCATGGGGGGAAATTTATGTCTGTGCTCAGAACCATCCAGGAGCCAGACACTACCAACAATGTCTTTACTCTGCAAACACTTTACGAAGCACAGGAACCAAATATATTGCAGGTGAAATTCTCCACTGTGCAGGGGTCTTTCACAGGTCTCCGTATTACATAAGTCCTACTTAAATACTATTCTAAAGTTGCACAAATCTACAGCACTGGCATGAAATTTCCCTTGGAAGAATTCCTTGAGCCCTTTGAAAAGGATGTACTTTGATAGCATCTATCACAGTCTCTTAAGCAATACATAAATCTTCTGCTGGCCTCTGCACTGAGGTAGGTACACCTTGCAGAGTGTCTTTCTTGTTCTGAAGAAATGTCACAAAATCCTACAGTGCTTTACAGTTTGCACTTAGCAGACTGAGCAGACATTACATACTGCCAAATTTCCAAACCACCAGTAAACACGTTAGTTTCTGAAATAATCAAGAGAGCAGAGGCATGAATATTTTACAGGCTAGCCACTCACAGCGTCTGGCCCTGGACTTGAAATCCTCATTCCGCTGAAACTGGTGAGAGTTGTTACTGACAATGGTGAGGCCAATATCTCACTCCATCTTTTCAACTGATAGTCACTTGTCATCACTAGCCCGTGCTCCAGCCCAATCTCTACCTCAGACTTCATTAGTGAGATTTCTCAGTGCCAGACTTTTCTAAAAAGTCTCTTCCATTCTTAGGAAAAAGCTCAAGACAATGAGAATTGCCTACCAAGCATGACCAGCTTGCTCACAAATTTGACACGATTCCTCAAAAGAAGTCAAGTGCTATGCACCCAAACTACTGCTGTTTCTTTGCAACAGCGTTCAAACCATCCGCCTTGCAGGTTCCAGAATTCCTGATTACCTGGCTATGCGTACCCAAATAGAAACCCCATGGGAATGAGCTGCCTTGATCTCCTGCCGAAGACCAAATACTGCTAGGTATGACTTTCCAATAAGGTGATCCTGATCTGGGAGTGGATCTAAAAGGTCCAGTTCACAGCATCCAGATCCTCATTTTTTCTCAAACACTGTCTGAAAAGAAAATTTTAACAGTCGAAATATGGGACCCTTAGTTACAAACAATAATGCAGAGTAACTCACCTGTAACATTCTACTCTATGATTCTTTCTTTTTGAAAAGGTAAAAAACTATTTAAGGACAAAATGAAAGAGCTCTGTACTATAACTCTCAATGAATTTACAGTAGGTTTGCCCAAACCTGTAAATACAGGAAATATTTTTGGCTTTCATAGTCTCTACAGAGTGTCCTAAACAATCTGCTGTTAGCTCTCATGGGGTAAGTAAATTCTCTTGCTCCTACTCTTCACTTGTACTCTGTCCTCTCCCCCTTCTTTCCTGGAGAAAAGCACACTTCTGTTCAGAAGGGAGGAAAAGGTATTTACCTTCCCAACAGTAATTGTTTCTTTCCTCTGAGATGCTAACAAGGCACACAGGTTCTCTTTCTTGCCTTTAATGTTGCTGCCCTTACACTAAGGAATGGGCCACTTACTCTGAGTTCCTGATCCTTTCTTGTTGCAAAGCCCCAACAAATTCTGCTGGCTACCCTAATCGTAGAATCACAGAATCATAGAATGGCCTGTGTTGAGAAGGACCACAATGATCATCTAGTTTCAACCCCCCTGCTATGTGCAGGGTCGCCAACCACCAGACCAGTCTGCCCAGAGCAATCATCTCACTTTGTGAGAAAGGCTTCCTCACTATTCTTCTTCTGTACCTTTCCATTCTCTAGAACTGTTGTTCTGAAGAATAACTCAGAACAGATCTCTACATCTGTCCTTAGAAACTACTGCATGATACCTTTTTTGGAATGATGACAATGACAATAATGTCATATTGTTTACTCCTAAATACAAATCCTAAATTAAGAGTCTACAAATAGGCTCTGACCATGAACATACTATAGCTGTCCAGTAACAGATATGATTAACCTGCTTCCTAATCCCTAAAACTTAAAAAGTGTTTTATTTTTAAAGCATTCAGAGAATTCTTTGCTGTAGTAAAAAGGCTGTTCTTACCAACTTGGTAGTCATGTTCTTGTTCTTCACATTTTAACTTTGAGAATGACTATAAAAGTCACGGTAGATGTAGCTTTGTGTGCACATATTTAACAACAGGAGTAACTGGAAAACAGCTGGAAAAATCTTTGTAAAAGGGAAATTAACCCCAAAGATGAGCCACCAACCCAACTTCATATTGATTACATTCACGGAAAAAAAGAAAAAAGTATGTGGCAACTGAGCTCTGTTGAGTTTTCTGTTCAATAAGAAGACACGTGTGAAACACTGCAATTTTTTGTTTTAAGTAACTGAATTGTCCAATGACTGCAGATCTTTGGGCTTAACCGCACTGCCACTGAAACCAATCTTGTGGTTTGGCCCTTAATTAAAATGATTTTTAGATTGTGACAAAAAGAACCTGAACTTTGACAGCAGCTTTAAAGATACTTGTAGTCTACTAAGGGTCTCAAAGACACGACGCACATTACGAAGCCCCCCCCCCCACAGGTCTATTCCCCTGAATAACCCATTTTGATTCAACTGGAAGATTCCAGTGAGAAAGTTACAAGGAATGGCTGAGGAAAGGGGGTTGTTCAGTCTGGAGAAGAGGTGGCTCAAGGATGACCTTATTGCTCTCTACAGCTCCCTGAAAGGAGGTTGTAGTGAGGTGGGGGTCAGTCTCTCTTCCCAGGCAACAGCGATAGGATGAGAGCTAATGGCTTTAATATGTGCCAGGGGAGGTTCAGGCTGGATCTTAGGGAAAACAACTTCTCAGGAGTGGTGAGGCATCGGTACAGGCTGCCCAGGGAGGTGGAGGAGTCACCATCCCTGGAGGTGTTCAAGAACTGTGGAGGTGTGGTGCTGAGGGACATGGTTAGCGGACATGGTGGGGATGTGTTGATGGTTGGACTACATGGTCTTAGTGGCCTTTTTCAGCCTTAATGATTCTATGATTTTAAGTTCCTCAGGACCGCAATCTCCCTATCCAAAAGAAGCTCCACAACCTCTTTCAAGCCAAAACAAATTATATTGGATGCAGCTCCCTTTTAAAAGCTATTTTTCTTGGATAAACTCCCACGCAGCCTGAAGGGGCAGGAGGGCTGAGGGACAGGCTCTTGCAAGGTTTTATTTTTTTTCCCCAAAACCTTCCCATTTTCTTCAGGTTGCCGGATAGCGGCACCCCACACGGCTCTGCCCACCGGCTGACAGCATTTAGGCCGCACCCGCCACTGGTCCCTTCGGCTCCGTCCAGTGACAGCACCGGCCCGCTGGGCACCGGGCCCCGGCCCATCGAGTCGCCCCTCCGTCCGGCCCATCGCGCCGCGCGAGGGGACCGCTGGCCCCGCTGGGGCAGAGCGGGCTGACCGAGCGCTCGGCCCCGCCGCCATGCAGCGCGCCGGCATTTCTGCGCTGTTCTGCCTGAATTTTGCGAAAGGCGCTGTGCCGGCGGCGGGGTGGGAAGACTCCGGGGAAGCGCGGGGCCCTAACGACCCCGCAGCCAATACGCCTTCCCCGAACCGCGGCGGTTTCAGGGACCCCCCGCTCGGAGGCCGGCGGGCGGGGACGGGGCAGGGACCGCCGGCGGCAGGATCCGAGCGGGCGAGAGCCGCGCGGCGGCCGCTTCCTCGCCCCCGTTTCCAGCGAAAGGGGCGGGAGGGGGAGTTCAAAGGCACAAACAAGGAGCGCAGGACCAAATTCCTCCCCCTCCCTCTCCACTAACGGGTTCGGCGATAAATCCGGCTCGGCTACGCTTCGCGATGGGGACGTGCCGCCGCCTTCCCCTCGCTGAGGCGGGAGCCGCGTTCCCCTCCCCGAGGAGACGGCGGCTGCCGCGCCCCCGGCGGGCGAGCGGACGCCGCTGAGGCGCGGTACCCCCGGCCAGCCCGCCGCCGCCGCCGCGGTACGGGGGGGACCGTGCCGCTGCGACAGGGGAGGACGGGGCTCGGCGCGGGGAGGAGGCGCTGCGAGCATGCGCCGGGCGAGCCGCTGACTGGGCGCTCCGTCAGGGTACCGAGGCAAAGGAAAAAGGAAAGAAAGAAAGAAAGAAAAAGGGATGAGGGGAAGGAGGATGAGCGACGGCGGAGGGAGGCGAGGAGGGTTTTAAAGGAGGCCGGCGGGATCCCGCGGGAAGGAGCGGCTGTGGCACGCGGGGCTCTCCGGCACCAACAGGTAGGAAGGAGGAAGGGCTGGAGCGGGGCTGCCGCAGCCGCGGGTGCGTGCGGGGAGCGCTCCGCGATGGCAGCGGACGGAGCGCGGGGCGCACTGCCCGGCCCCGCCGCGGGGCTCCCGCAGGGCTCCGGCTGCGGCTGGCGGGCGGCGGCTGCGGGCGGCGCGGCGCGGCCCTGCATGGCCGTGGGCGGGGGTGCGCGGTGTGTGCGGTGCGTGCGGTGTCCGTGTGCGCGGAGGCAGGGCCGCGCGGCGGGGACAGCTCCGCGGAGGAGGGGAAGCGGCGGGGCCGGCGGGAGGGGGAGGGGGAGCCTGATTTCATGGTTTTAAAACGATGCCATGATCTGATCGGCGTCTGTTTACACGGCGGCGATCGGGCTCTTTCGCGGACGGTAAGAACGGAAGGATCTTGCCGGGGATTCAGCGGGAATAGGCTTTGCACGCCCGAGCTGGCGGAGCGGCGCTCGGTGCGGGCGGCGGGCAGCCCGGGGCTGCTGCGGGGCTCTGTACCCGGCGCGGGGGGAGGAAAAAAACAACGGCGGCACAGCGGCAGGCAGAGCCCTTCCATTTATTTCGTTTTGCTGCATGAAATGTGCCCCGGTGCGCTCGCCGGGAGGATTAGCGGGCTTTGTGGAGCCCCGATCAGCGGGAAATAATAATAATAATAGTAAAAGATGCAGTCGATGTACGATATGTTTATTTAAGCATAGCCCAAAGCAGCCCTCCCCGAAGGATGGGCATTATGTCTTGGGTGTGATGCCTGTTTTGTCTCGGTATTTACATCGAGCGTTGCTTATTCCGAATGATGTCGAGGCTTTAAAGATTTGCATTAAAGCGGAGAGGGGGGGACCCTGAAGCACAGTGCCATCGGCTGCCTGGCGTACCTGTTTGTTTGGAAGCCGAAATGATGAAATTACGGTTTGCAGGAGGAAGGGAGGGAGATAATGAATACCGTTTCTCTTAGAATGTGCATGAACGAACACGGTGTGATTAATGTGCTTTGGTGACTCGGGTTAAAAAACATAAATTCTGCAGGGTTTCTTTGGGTGTGATCCGTATCAACACAGCAGCCGCCTCTAAAACACTGACAAATAGCGTAGCCGTAAAATAAACATAGGTAATGTCAAAATACCAGCAGCCGTTGGTGATTTTTTTAAGGATGTCAGTGATTAGCTCTTGGGCTCGCAAACTGGGAATCTTTCGATTCATAAAATCTCCGAGGCTTTGACTGTAGAATGACATACGCTACCAAAGCTAAGGGGCACTGGCCAGTTCTGAGACTGTAACCAGCCAGATCTGTGAAATGCCAGTGATCAAACATGCTGAACAGTATGTATGTATGCATGTATCTATGAAAGCCTCGTGATTTTTAAAAACAAACAATAGTACTCAAATTTACAACTTCATTTGCTTCTCCATAAATTACCATCTTTGTTAGCACTTTCTGACATCATTTCTTGTTAACTTAAGAACTGATAGCTCGATTTTTTTTCAGATATTTTGATGGCATGACAAATCAGAACGAAGAGGATGTACTGTATGACTAGACACCAGATCAGTTCTGTTTGTGGATTACATTTTCAGTAAGATGTATGGATCTATTTTTTCCTTCTTCTTATATATAGATCATGAGACTTGACTGAGGCAATATACATATCATCCATCCATCTATGGCGAACTACAGCCATGCAGCTGACAACATTTTACAAAATCTCTCTCCTTTAACAGCTTTTCTGAAACTGACTTCACTGGGTTTCATAATAGGAGTCAGTGTGGTGGGTAACCTTCTGATCTCCATTTTGCTAGTCAAAGATAAGACCTTGCATAGAGCTCCTTACTACTTCCTGTTGGATCTTTGCTGCTCAGATATCCTCAGATCTGCAATTTGTTTCCCATTTGTTTTCACCTCTGTAAAAAATGGCTCTACTTGGACGTACGGGACTCTTACTTGCAAAGTGATTGCCTTTTTGGGGGTTTTGTCCTGCTTTCACACCGCTTTCATGTTATTCTGCATAAGCGTCACCAGATACTTAGCTATTGCCCACCACCGTTTTTATACAAAGAGGCTGACCTTCTGGACTTGTTTGGCCGTGATCTGTATGGTGTGGACTCTCTCTGTAGCCATGGCTTTCCCCCCAGTTTTAGATGTGGGCACCTACTCGTTCATTAGGGAGGAAGACCAGTGCACTTTCCAGCATCGTTCCTTCAGGGCTAATGATTCTTTGGGATTTATGCTTCTTCTTGCCCTCATCCTCCTAGCCACACAGCTTGTCTACCTCAAGCTGATATTTTTTGTTCACGATCGCAGGAAAATGAAGCCAGTCCAGTTTGTTGCAGCGGTGAGCCAGAACTGGACATTTCACGGTCCCGGAGCGAGTGGTCAAGCAGCTGCTAATTGGCTGGCTGGATTTGGAAGGGGTCCCACACCGCCAACCTTGTTGGGAATCAGGCAGAACGCCAACACCACGGGCAGGAGAAGGCTACTGGTTTTAGACGAGTTCAAAATGGAGAAGAGAATCAGCAGAATGTTCTACATCATGACATTCCTCTTTCTGACCTTGTGGGGTCCCTATTTGGTAGCCTGTTACTGGAGAGTTTTTGCAAGAGGGCCTGTAGTACCGGGGGGATTTCTAACGGCCGCTGTCTGGATGAGTTTTGCCCAAGCTGGAATCAATCCTTTTGTCTGCATTTTCTCCAACAGGGAGCTGAGGCGCTGTTTCAGCACAACCCTTCTTTACTGCAGAAAATCCAGGTTACCAAGGGAACCTTACTGTGTTATATGAGGGAGCATCTGTAAATCTTTAGCCTTGTGAAACACTACCATTCTCTGCTAAGCAATTGTGGCCTGTAGCCATGTCTTGAGAAGAAAATCAAGAATGGGATGTCAGCAGTTGTAAGGATTTGGGCAACATTCTGCAGTCTTTGCAATAGCTCACCTCTAATCCTATTTTAAACCTAAACATGTTCCTGCTGACCACTGCTGAAGGTTTGTAATTAAGAACAAAGGACTGAACTACTGCCCTGAATTTCTTTATGTGGTTGAAATCTAGATTATGAAAGTAGCAGGTGCTAAGTATCAGTGCTAAATGCTGTGTATATCACTACATAAAATAAGACCATCAGAAACATTAGCATTGGACATCTTAATAAATTAAGTTGATATGAGGTTAATGTGTTGATAAAACTAATTTTAGACATCTGAAGACCTTTAAAACATTTCATACAATTATTGTTTTGCAAAGACTGAAAACTGGGGACTCAAGTACTGTAACTGATTAAAGATGTGCCATGCATTATTGGATTATCACACTTACAAATCTGTTTGCCTTGTGAGTAAGTTTTGGGGAGCATTCCAAAGCAGTATTTTTGTTCTCATTTAGACTTCTTTTTTCTTTTCTTTTTCTTTTTTCTTTTTTTTTTTTTTTCTTCCGAATATATTACTCTTTCTAAATGCCATTTTCCTTAACAGTGAAATAATAACATTTAACTGTATTCTGTGGTTTTTGCTGACTTGGTATAAAGTTTAATAGACTCTTATTTATATTTTTTAAAAAGCTAGATATCAGTCTGTTAGGCAACGCTAATGATAATATCCAGTCATAATTGAACAGTTATAATTATACAGAATAAACACATGTTGCCTTAAAGGGTTATCTAGTATCTTCCATTTTGTTTAGCATTGAAGCAAATAAGCAAGGAAAATTGAATCAGTGACTCTGGTCAGTCATTTGGGAGTGCATGAACGATCACTTAGTCCTCTTTTTTCCTTTTTACTCCGATGGTTCCCAAAATCAGTATGCACATCACTGGGATGATACGATTTTTTTCTAGGTGTGCCGCCCTTTCTGGTTTGTTCTGAGAAACACAGGCAGTTGATGTATGTTTATATTTTAAGACAGCTGTCATGGGGAGACCGCAGCCTTAGTATGATATCTTGCACAATTTGTGAAGCATTTATTCTACTGAAGGCACAGTCTTGTTTATATTTTCTGCACATTTTGGTGTATTGGTTGTTTTAAATTATTTAAGTTTTAACTTGTGAAAGCATATAATATGATTTCTTAGTATTTTAGAAATACATTAGAGTCTGTGAGTCTTTCCTTCTTTAAGATACAGATGTGTGGATTTCAATATAAAGTTGCATTTGCCAAAATTTACCTGTGTAGCTTGTTAATTTTCTTGGAATAAAATTTTACATTTTTCCAGTTATACAATTAACCTTTTTTTATTTTGTCTAGTGAGCTAGCATGAAGTACTGAGAATGTAGCCATTATGAATTTATTATCCTTTGCAGTCACTGTATTCCCAAACTGTAAATGCATGAATGATGGGGACCACAGGATTGATAAATGATATTATCTACAGTAGCACTATTGTGTAGTTTATCATAATTACCCATCTATCTGTTTTAATATGTCAGTTATATTTAAAGTTACAACACAGTATTTGACATTAACTTCACAGTTTGATTTTGGAAAATGTGTGTATTTGAAGCACAACATCACGAGTCAGTCGATCGTAAAGAACGTTGATTTTTTTCTTAATTTCTGGAGCGACAAGACTAGAGGTCTTGATTCAGTATTGGTGTATGTTGTCCTTTGTTGTAGTTTTATGATCAGCAAGTTAATCTATACGTACACAAGCAGCAGTCAATAATGGAAATGCTTAAATTTGTATGATAACAGTATACAACATATGCAACAATTCAGAGAGTTGTGTCTATATGTGATCAGACAACTTGATCAAAGATTTAGTGAGCAATCTGTTTGACCTCACTTACACTTTTATACTGAGGTTGATTGGTTGAGAGGCATGGCCTAATATACTGTGTTGAAACAGAAAAAAATGCTGAAATAATGAGTCCTCATCAGTACAAGAATGTTTCAGAACATAATTTGAAACGGGACCAATAAACTTCTACCAAAAGGACTTTTTTATTACGCTGGAAAAGGCTTTGAAATTAAGGTAGTTAAGCAATTGTCAAAGATGGAAAGAGTGCATAAAAGCTGAATCGTGTGTTGAGAAAAATTCTGAAAGTTATCCCACTTAAGTTTATTAAAAGGTTGATTGGCAATAACTTCAGTCTAATTTCTATAAAATAGTAACCTTTACAAGGAACATTGATATTACATATTGTAATAAAGAAGTACATATAAATAAAGTTGTAAATAGTGTTATAGTTGTAGAAGTAGTCGGTTCTGAAAATTAGCCAGAAAATGATGACATTTCAAGAGCTGCATATTTGGGGCCTGACCTAACTCCTAATAAAGTCAGTTGGTGTTTTCCCATTAACTTCATTTGGAGCAGAAGCAGGCCCTGACGTTTCTATAGTACTATGCTTCTGAAATACTAAGAAGGCTGTGTTTACTATGCAGTGGGGAAAAAAAAAAAAATTAAAATTATTTCCCTGGAAGTTTTGCAAGCAGAAACTGATGTAAATTAAAATAATAAACGGTAAACAAGTCTGAAAGCAAATATTTTGCTAAATGTTTTTCTTTTGATATCAACGTAATTCCTTTGACTAACTGAAAGATATGCAAGTGTGTTACTACTTGACAGAGAAGTGCTTTAAGTGGTTTTTTGTATTTTTCCAGTACAAGTGTTGTGTAAGATGTAATTCCTTTTATTCCCTCCAGTGTTAAAAGAACAAGGGAATGTGCAGAGAAGTTAAGTGACAACATATGAAGTAACATTTTGTACAGAGTTATTACTCACTGGAACTCACTGGCAAAGGATGTTCAGTAGTTGAGGGGTTCCTAAAGAATTGCACATATACGTGAACCAAAGCAGTAGTTGCAGATATTGACATGGCTGTCATTTTGATCCTAGTTGCCACATCAGGCCTCATGCATCAGGGTATAAATTCAGAGGAGCAAGAAGGCTTTCTTCCAGTTCAGTACATGCTTGCATCACAGTATGAAAAGCCTTCTGCTTTCATTTTAGTATGGATGTGACATTGGTGCCAAAGCTTACTGGGCTGGTAGATTACTCTTCCATTGCAGAGTAGCAAAGAATATCATGCTGGCTTATGTCTGCATTGATATTGAATGCTCATGGGTAATGAGAAGCTAGTGGCAGAAAAAAGGTGTAAGAACAGATTCTGTCCAGAAAAAAACATCTGCCTCTGATTTTTTCCCCAGTCTATTCATGCCACTGGCCCTTTGGCAGCCTCCATCACTTCTTCCAAGTGAGATATTTTATATATCGAGTCCTATATTTATCCTGTCCCAGTGCTCTTTAAGTATCTCAGCCATTTCTCCTCCGGAACAGACAGACGAGCTGTACTGACTTCCGGTGGTTGCCCAAAGTTTGTCAGTGTCCGGGTTGCCTTCCTGAATACAGAGAGACCACTGGTTCCTTCCAGCTGCCTTCATAGCTGCAGCTGTCATGCCATTGCTTGTCTTGCACACCAGGTATCTCTGGCTTTTGGCTTTGATAATGAAGAAGATGCTGTCTGTGTTATGCAAAGAAAAAATCAGGATGAGGAGCAGGCAACAGGAAGCAGTTTCCTCTCTTCCAGCCCTTCATAACGAAAGCACAGTTGTTGCTGTATAAACTCTCTAAATAAATCAAATGTACAGTCAGAAAATTAGTGCAAGGCTGTCGGTACAGCCATAGAAGATTATTACGCAATGGTTTTCAGCCATTCTCCAGGCCTCGGGGGCAGAGGAGTCCTCTGCATCTATCTCCTTATAAATGCACTGAGTTTTTTCGCTTGTATTGTCTTTGCTCTGCCTTTCAAGCGTGAAAACATTTTACTTACATGAGCACAGTGTCACTGCAAGCTGCTGTTACCCCTGTGTTTAATAAATAACGTCAAAGGGAAGCGTGATGTTTTTTGAGGTAGATTAGAGAGGCACTTGGACTAACATTTGTTTTTTAGCAAATGTTAAATAGAACTGTGGGTTGCCAGGCTCTTCCATAGTTACACAGTCAGATGTCAATTGTTGACAATAGAAATGGTGTAGACTAACTTGCGTAAAGCTAAATCATAGATAATGCAAGGCATACGCACTCTAGACTGCAAGAATTTCCTGTGTTTGTTACGTTTTTTGAGGAATGAAGTTAAGCTGAAGTAAAAAGCCGAAGTAGAAACTCAAAGGAAAATGGTGGGTGTTTTTCCTTTTTTTCTGCTTTGTTTTAGCATAGCTGTGCTAATCTGCAACCTGGGTTACACACCCACAGGCAGCCAGGAGTTGACTGCACAGTTCTGCATACCACATAGACAGCTTCCTTCCAGCTTATATTCATTGAGAGCTGTGTAAGTGCACGCTACTGATCTGATTGACTTTTCAGAAAAAAGAAAGGGCTCACTCTAAGATACTGTTCTTCAAAAGTAAATTTCAGTAGATGTTCTCTCCTTTTGTTTACTGAAGTGATTCTGAGTATGAAGAAACCAGTGATCTACATTGGTAATCAACTTAAGCATGCTGTGGCTGTGTCCATTAGCACCAGGACAAGATGGCATTTTGTGATGCATAGGGCAGCAAGGGATCAAAGAGTTTGATATTACATACCATGACTTTCCTTGAGTGGCCTGAAAATAGCTCATGGTTTATATTTAGAAGAAAAAGAAATATGATGAAACTGTCCATTTCAATGGATAAAGTCTTTAACTCGACAGTATGGGAAAAAACTCAAATTTTAAAAATTGCTCATTAGAAATAGCAAAGGGGTTTTGTGTGTTCATGTTAAATGTGCAATTACATAAGTATATGGTGATCAAAGGAGTGCCACAGTAAATAAACTACATTTGTAATAGTCTAAAGAGGAAATAAGTAACAACAATGTTCAGCCATTTAAATAAAAATAAATGTATTCAGTATTCAGTGATTTTGTATACCTGGTGCACTTAGAGAAATGCCTTTAGACAGTGGCTTGACTGATGCAATCCAGAGAGACTTACTCTTTACATCACAGTCTTTGTACTGTGCTTTATAATGAACACAAGTTTTCAAAACAGAATTCGTCTGATATAATCTTCAACAAATTGCATTAGCTACAATAAATATTAGGCAAATTACTGTCTCCAGAGATTATTCAGAATTATCTCTGTGCTAATTCAGGAAGAGTCTACTTCACCTTTGTTAAAGAGCCATCTAGCCAAAGATGCATATTTTTTTGTCATCTTGTCATTTCTTGGTTAAGAAGAGTTATTCTGCAATGTGGAATTAAAAATCCCAAGTATGAAATGATATGTTTGAATTTCATTTAGCATGCCACCTATTAAGTTGCTGTAGTGACATTTTAAACAAACCTATGAAGCTTATGTTTAAAAATGTGAGCAATCATTTAGGAAAACAAACAAACAAA